AGCCTGCAGGGGGAACGAGGGGAGCGAAGGGGAGACTCAGGGATGCTAGCGCAACGGGAGGTAAGCAACTTGAAGGTGCGCTCGTGCTGCTGAGCATGCGTGATCTGCGCTGCCCTGAAGCGCTCGATCTCATGCACGTCGAGAGCAGACAAGCGGTGGTTATGGACATAGAGCAAGAACATTGAGTTAGCATGCGCAGGCGAAGAGACAGGGCAAGCGGCCGAGCGGCCTGGCACAATCGTGCGCAGAATGCGCACTGGCTTCAGTTCGTCAGGCACTGGCCGACGTTGCGGATGTCGCGGGGCGAGGAAGGCCACTCCGCCAGATGAGACATCTGCGCCAGACACGAAACATTCGCACGGGCAAGGCGAGTCATCCACAAAAAGCTGGAGGCGACGGGCATCCCCGCGGACTTCTTGAAAAACAATGAGATCCCGTTGGCGCATGCATTCGGCTTAAAATCGCAATTTAGAGTCTCGCTTCCGTGAGTCGATGCAAAGAAGACTGCGAGTACTCCAACAAATAACACGGCAACCATTCGGAGCATCACGGAGATAAGGCTCCCCCGGAGCCGAGGAAGCGTTACCCAGAACCTCTGCAGCCGAGAAAGCTGAATTGAAAGCTTCCCCCGCCGCGGACTGATCACTGTTGAACTGCGCCTCTGCGAGAACATTCCATTTAGCGCGAAAGGGTTCGTCCTGCCCGCGCGGCTCAAGCTGACAGCACGGCACAGCTTTGACCGGGATCGGGCACTGGGCGCGCATGCAGCGCCACGTGAGGGATGGGTATGTTCCCTCGAGAATATTGCGCATCTTCTTCGGCTGCGCCTCTCCATGTACCATCTCGGGGCTCTTCTCACTTGGGACGCACGCCGGAACGACTGCATTTTCGGTGGAAAGCACGGAGAAGGAGCGACAGTCAGAGGATGTTCGTGGGCTTCGCAAAAAACTGTGGTTCTCGAGCTGGCTTCAGCTTTGTTCTCAAGTGCACATCACACGGTGAGGCGCGTTGCCACGACGCCACCGACCAACTCCCCATGTTCTTTCTGGAGTTTGGTGCCAGCAATCCGAGAAGACAGAGCATCACGAACAGCTTGCGGCACCGCGGGCGCAACAATGCCCACTGAGAAGATGGGTAGGTCCACAGCACGATCCCAGGTCGCAGAGTTTCCCACATCAATCGGGAGCTGCGCCACCGCCGTGGCCAGCTGTTGGCGGATGGCATCCACTTCTTTCAGTGTGGTCGTCGCAGACGGAATTCTTGAATTTCACGAGACCGCGCATCCAATCGCCAATGTGTGCGGCCCTGCCCCAGCTCGAACATGCTGCGCAGCTGGCCCGCGATGGTGTCCAGCTGCGACGCTGCAGCAGCAATCTCATCTGTATCAACTCGCGCAGCATCTCGAAGGCGTTGCCCAATGTGTTGTTTGTCTGTCTGGCCGCGCCATGGGTGTTCGCCTGCAGTGAATCCACGGAAATGTCCGTACCGGCCCCAAGAGTACCACCTACCACCCACCCAGCTGCTGCAGGACGACCAACTCGATGGTCTTTTTCATACGCACGTGCAGCAGTGTCACCTGCCATGGGAACGTCACCCTCAAGGAATGCCGGAGCGGCGTCCAGGTCGGCAGCGAAACGTGCAGTTTCATCTGCGGAGAGACTGGGTACTGGGTGACTAGAACGGCCTAGAGCAGTTCGGGCGGCAACAATGGCTGGTAGGCGCAGCAGCTGCCGCACCCAGAGCCTCGCCAAGGCCATGTGCGCGCCGCGCAGGTCCAGGTGCAGGCACACTGGCGCGACCAGGGCGACGACCACGGCCACCACGTTCAGCACGGGGAGCGCCATGAGCACGGGCATCACGATCACGATCGCGGTCTCGTCCTCGCTCATCACGCTGCGAGCGCTCAGATCGCCGAGGAGGATGAGTGTAGTGGTCACACTGTCGCCGAGAATCAGCTGCATCAGTCGGCTACGGTCAGTATTCGGGTGGGCAAAATCACTACCACTGTCACAAGAAAACATAGGATCAGATGGCCAACGCCATGCACCTCCGCGCAATTGCCACCAGATGCCGCTATGGCTGTGTGGGTGCTGACAGGGGAAGGTCGTATCCCTGTGGACGTACGAGAAATATGCAGCACCGTCGGGTCCACTAGGAGGGCCAGTCTGAGTATGGGGAGTGGGCCAGTCTTTCTGGCCACACGGGGCCAGAAAGATGGCTCGGGCCACCTGCTTATATACAGACCAAAGCTGATCACTGGTTCTCGGGCACCTGCAGCCCTTCACAGCGTTTAGCCTTGAGCCAGAATGGCTACGAAGAAGGAGGAGGAGGAGAAGGGGGAGATGAAGGATGAGGGAAGAGGAAGGTCAGTCCTCCTCCCTCCTTCTCCTCCTCCTCCTCCTCCTCCTCCTCCTCCTCATCCTCCACCTCCTCCTCCTCCTCCTCCTCCTCCTCCTCTCTTCCTCTTCGTCATGCGCAGCCTGCTGCTCCCCCTCCTCATCCTCAACATCCACCTCTTCCTCCTCATCCTCCTCCGCCTCCTTCCCCTTAGCATCATCCTCATTATCCTCTTCCCTTTCGTCACCACCATCACCATCAGCATCATCGTCATCAGCATCGTCAGCATCATCATCACCACCATCATCACCAACATCATCAACGTATTCGTCGTCATCATCTTCGACATCGGCATCGCCATCGTCGTCATCAACATCATCAGCAGCAGTGGCGTCAGCATGCTCATCCTCCTTTCCCATACATGTTTTACTGTGGCTCCCTCATCTTTTCTTCGAATAAAAGATCGATCAGGCCTGTGGGCAAAGGGAAAGTAAGTGAATTAGAGGTAGTGAAGCCTACCCCACCACTCGCCGCCTGGATCCTCACCGGTGCGGGCAAGGGGCCAAGGCTTTGACAGGTGCAGGCCCGTAGGACACGGGCACTTGTCACTGACTGACAATATATGACGCCCCTGCTGCTTATATATCTATCTATATATATATATACACAAGACTGCATTGGCGCTTCGCGCCAATGCACCTTGGTCCGATAAGTGGACGGTGCAGGCAGACTGAGAGGGGTAAGCTGGTCAAGTCAGAAATCGTTTCTGGTGGACGATGTCGCCATCACCGTGGTTACATTGTCCATCTTGTTCCTTTCCTTATGTTTGTCTTCGTACATTTTCTCTCCCTCTTTCTCAAGTAAATTGGCACACGAAGGTCTCTTCGTCCTCTTCTGATTCGTTCGCGGAAGCTCTTTCGTGGCGAATCTCTCGAGAGCTTCGCGGAAGCATTGTTAGGGCTCCTTGGGAGCCTATGGAGGCGGCCGTGGCGCCTTTCGGCGACCAATGGGGAGGTCCTCGAGCCACCATACTGGGAGTCGTGGTTCCAGATCACGTGTTGCATTATTGGGGAAGTTGTCGTGAAGACAATTTGAGGCCGTGGTAAGGCCGCCCGTGGGCAGTTCGGGGGCCGTCTTGGGCCCTCATGGGGCCCCCTTGGGCTGTCTGGAAGCCTGTCTGGCTTGTCTTGGAGCGGTTGTCGGTGTTTTTCCAGCGATCTCGGACGCTTGGAAGCCTGAATGAGCGAGCATCCGGACATAAAACAAGCATTGAACAAATCAATGTTTTTCAAAGTTTGGAGCGCCTCTTCCAAATGACATTCGGGCCGTCTTAGGGCGTCCAGCGGGGGTCTGGGCCGCTTGATGCCATCTTCCATCGTTGTGGGAGTCTCTTGGGCCTTGTGCCAATTGTTTTGCAATCATTTGGGCCAGTCATGGGGCCGCCTGTGGGCAAGTTGGCGGCCATCTTGGGCCCTAATGTGACCGTGTTGGGGTGACAGGAAGCGCGTTTGGCGTTTGGCTCGTCTTGGAGCGCTTGCCAGTACCTTTCCAGCGTTCTCGGACGCTTGGGGGCCCGAGTGAGCGAGTATCCGAACATCACACGACAAAAACAATGAACCATCGATGTTCTTCCAAGTTTCGAGCGCCTCTTCCAGGTGACATTCGGGCCGTCTTAGGGCGTCCAGCGGGGGTCTGGGCCGCTTGATGCCATCTTCGATCGTTTTGGGAGTCTCTCGGGCCTTGTGCCAATTGGTTTGCAATCATTTTGGGCCAGACATGGGGCCGCCTGTGGGCAACTTGGCGGCTGTCTTGGGCCCTCATGTAGCCGTGTTGGGGTATCGGGAGGCCCGCTTGCGCCGTCTCGGAGCGGACTTTAATGGTTCTCCAGCGTTCTCGGACGCTTGGAGGCCCGAGTGAGCGAGCATGCGAACATCGAACGAAACACCATGCAAAATCAATTATATGTTTAGGGTCGAACGCCTCGTGGAGGTGACATTCAAGCCGTCTTCGGGCGTCTGGCAGGGGTCAAGGGCAACGTGAAATCATCTTCGACCGCCTTGGGCGTCTCATGGGCCTTGCGCCGACCGTCTTGGGACAGCCACCCGCCTGTTTGCACACCTTGGCAGGGATTGCTAGACCGCCCCCTGGTGCCAGTAAGGGCGTCTGGCCAGTCCGACGAGTCCCAAATTCGTTCGGGGGGGGCGGGGTGGTGGGCCTTTTCCGGGGTCCTCAATCGTATACAAATATATGAATAGGAATAGACACGCATATAGAGATACAAGGAGGGGATAGATATAAGAATGCAGGGCCGACCGATGTCACGGGGAAAACCCAAACTGCAACCCCTGCAACGCAAACAACACACTAACGGAAGATTAGCCTCCACAGCTCTGCAAATATAAAGCTTGTGCTTGGGAGAAGCTTCTCCTGCCTGCGGCTGGGGGTCAGGGCCTCGCACACCCCGTTGGCTTCCTGGCTGCGGAAAGCGCGAGCACACTGAACGCATCTCCAGGACGAGCCCGTCCATATGCATGTCCCTCCTTCATATCCTCCCACTCGTCCTCTCCCTCATCATCATCCCCTCCTCCTGCTAATCATCCTCCTCCCCTCACTGAAGACAACAGGCAAGAACTCGGCGGACTTGTAACTGGACGGCATGCGGCCTCCATGTACACGGCCACCGTCGTCCGCAAGAACTCGCCGTCCACCAAGAAGTCGAAGGGCACAGGCCTCGAGGCACAGCGGAGGTGGGGAACAGAAGGAGAAGGCGAAGGCAGTGGAATCCAGTGGAAGAAGAACGACTGGAGGGGAAGGACAACAACGACGGCAAATGAGAACAGGCACACAGGAGAAAGTGAAGGGCGAGATATAAAAGGTGAATGGGGGAGAGGAAGAGGAGGAGAAGGAGGAGAAGGAGGAGAAGGAAGAGGAGACGGAGGAGGAGGAGGGGGAGTGCGGGACGAGGAGGAGAAGGCCGAGTGGGAGGACGAGGGAGTGGGCCGAAACTTTTCAATTTCTAAGTTTCTGACCGCGTCCAAACCTCGCCCATCCTGTGCTGAACGGGTCGGCCCGTGGCTCTCACCTTAGCGCCACGAGCATTCGTCTTCAAACCTTCCGATACACATACGGATGGACGGGCGTTTTTAAAATGTGACTGTCGCGTTGGCCCAGCTCGCATTCGCCTCCAAAGATTGTAACAAGATCATGGAGGAAGGGGGTCGTGTTGAACATGTGGGTTTCCCAAATAAGTGTCGTAACCGCGCCAATGTCAATGTGTTACACGATTGGAGGGTGTCGTTTTCAAAGTGTGACCCCCGCCTTAGCACCGCGCGCACGCGCCTTTGCAAGCTTCCAGGGGGCACGCGCATGGAATGAGGTAATTTCCCAGGCGTTGCGATCGACTGCGCGCTGCGCACATTCGTCTTAAAAGCCTCCCACCTTTACACTGGTTGGGGGCAAGTCTTGTTCCATATGCGGTGTTCGCCTAAGCGCCGCGCACATCCGCCTTGAACGTTCCTGGCAGTTGCACGCGTGGACGAGGCAGTTCCAAGACGTGGCTCTCTGTTCATCGCCACGCACATTCAGCCTAAACGTGTCCCCCACGTGCACTGATTGACTGGGACAGTTCGACAAAAACACTGCCACTCGCCCGTTCTAAATGCTAGGTCGTGCAACAGCTGCACGAATAGAGGGCACCCCCTTTTCAAACCGCTGGTGTCACTCGCCAGTCCCCTGAACTCTATGAGCAAACGTGTGTGTGTGTGAGTGTGTGTATGTGTGTGTGTGTGTTGGGGTTACCTTGTACGGTTCGGGAGTAGCTATGTTGCTAAATGGAGTTGTCGCTGGGCACGCTCTTAGGTTTTCTGACCGTACAGCGCCGCCGTCCTCACAGCACCTTACAACAAGGAGATAGGAGCATGGGTTGCAGATCCTTTCCAGGACAGGGTTCTCGACCATGGTGCGCATGCGGTTCAATGGGAGCACTTCCAACAATCAATTCAAACTCCTGTAGGGACTTAGGCGGAGGTGGCTTGGGACGGATGGGCGTATTGCAGCAAGGATGGTGCATCGTAGGTTTGCCATAGTCGTCCCCCTCCTCCCCTGTCGTCATCTTCTCCCTTGCTCCCCACCCCGTACCACCCTTCCTTCTGTTGCTCCTCCGTCTCTTCTTTTTCCTCCCTCTCCCTTTTCTACTTATCCTCCCCCACGCCCGCTTTCCCCCTCTTCCTCCTATTCCTCTTATTCCTCCTCTTCCTCCTCCTCCTCCTCCTCCTCCTCCTCCTCCTCTTCCTCTTCCTCCTCCTCCTTTTCCTCCGCCTCCTCTTCCTCCTCCTCTTCCTCCTCCTCCTCCAACTTTTCGCAATCCTCCGCCTCCTCCTCGTCCTCGTCCTCGTCGTCGTCGTCATCCTCCTCCTCCTCCGAAATTACCGTTTTACGGATAAATGCATACTATGTCCCACACGTGCCGCCGCGCCTGCACCGAAACAAACCAACGATGTCGCGATCTACACCAGCAAACTATAATAATAGTATAAAGATCACCGATGCTAAAATCAGCGCAGATGGAACGGGACGCGGCACGTTCTGGGCGCGAGCCAGCGAAGTGTAGCTCTTCCGCTTGCTCTGGGCAACAAATGGAACTCACTTAACCAACTGACCGCGCAGGAAGCGCAGGAACTCTTCAATACTCGACGCGCCCAGTATGTCTATAGACGCCCGAGAAGGTGCGATTCGAGCGAACGAGTACTCGAACGTAGCTGCTGCATTGTATCCTGAAGTAAGTCATGGGCCGCGACTTGTCTCTGCCCGTCGCGTTTTTTTTCTGAGCACGGGGCGCGCCCGCGCGCATCACCGCCGACCGCCCCTGGCTCCTCCCCGCGGGATGCGGCGCAGCGTCGCTATGATGAGGAAGTGGTGCGAAACAGTGTTGGGAAGTGCGCGGTGTCCCCCGCCTGGCCCCTGCCCCGCCCCTGTGGACAACTCTGGGGCGCACTTTTACGGGCACGCGGGCATGCGACGGCCACAAAAGAAGCCCTCTGCGCCTGCGCTGGACACCGCACAACCCAGACCACGACGGTACCTTTCGACTCCAATGCCTGCGCCGATGCCACACCTGTTTGCGGCGCCTGTGCCAAACGATGATGCCCGAGCCGCGCATGCACCCTGCTGTGATGACGCTCCTGCGGCGTCTGCGCCGTGCCGCGCGCAGCGCATGCACCGACGAAAAATTAAAGTTTGCGGAGAGGAGGGAGGGAGGGAGAGAGGGAGGAAGGGAGGGAGGGAGGGAGGGAGGGAGGGAGGGAGGAGGAGGAGGAGGAGAAGGAGGAGGACGAGAAGGAGGAGGAGGAGCAGGAGGGGGACGAGTGCGGGTAGCCTGGAGGAGGAGGGGGAGGAGAAGGAGGAGGAGGAGGAGGAGGAGGAGGAGGAGGACCTGCTCCACAACAGCGATGCCCAAGCAGAGTTTGCACCCGACGTCGCGGTGCGCAAGCGGTGCCGGCGCCTGGCCGCGCGCGACGCACTTCGACCTCGGGGGCCACGCCTGCGGCGCCCGCGCCAACGCAGCGACGGCCACGGCGAGGCGGCACGGAGTGCGGCCCTGCTGCTCCGCATGGCACTGCTGCGGGTGCGACGCCGACGGGGATGACGGCGACGGCGGCGACGATGCCGTAGCGCTCGCGGCCTTGACGCGCGATCCTCTACATCGCTCCCCGGCGGGCGCCGGTTTCCCCGGGTGCGCGATCCCTGCTGGAAGTGGGAAACGCCTGGCCAGACGCTTGGGTGTTTCATGTGTTCGCTTCCTGGGTCAAGCTCCCCCTGGCCTGCGATCCGCAGCCCCTTACCCAGACGTTTTTCTCTACGGCTTTCTCCACCTGTCAATGACCCGCAAAGGACTGGCACATAAAACGATGAATTCCCGGCGCACGGGGCACGCGCGCGCGAACCCCCACAGCCCGCCCGAAGACGCTGACCGCGAGCGGCAGCACCGCAATGTTTCCGGCAGCGGCGCGAATACCATGCAAAGAAAATCGCGGCGTCCACCACCTCGTCCCCTCCCCGACCCCAATACAATCTTGATAAATCCCCAGAAGGAACGCCTGCACCAATGCAAAAAAAAACGCCTGCGGTGCTCACGATGTGACCATGAAGTCCAGGCCACGCCTGTACCTCATGAGTTGGCGCAGCTGCGGCGCGCGAGCTCTGCTGTGCCCAATGCCGGCGACGACGCAACAAAAGTCTGCAGCGCCTGCGCCAAATCAGCAACGATCGAACCTCGCCTGCACCCTGTCTTGCGACGCTCCTGCGGCGCCTGCGAATTGCCGCGCGCGGCGCCTGCGCCGTCGCAAATTCATGCCAACGGCGCCCGCCCGGTCTAGAACAACAATGCCCACGCCATGTTTGCATCCTGCGTCGTGGCGCGGTGGTGCCTGCGCGCTGCTGCTCGCAAGGCCGTCAACATCGGGGGGCGATGCTCGCGGCGCCCGCGCCGCTGCCGTGATGCCCGCCGCGGTGGAACGCGGAGCCCGCCTACATCGCGTTGGATGGCATCGCCGCGGGCGCAACGATGACGCCGACAGCGGTGCGGGGATGGCAAAAAAAACGCTTTTAGTTTTTCAAACACAAGCCGCGCGCGGCGATTTCCCCCACCACGGAGGCTGACCCTTTATCGAGGCCCCACCATCCAGCGTGATCCCCGGCTGGTTCCCAACACTCAGAGTAGGGATATAAATGGAATTTGAACTTCTGCCTTCCGAGACCAGGAGTGCCACAGCTCGAAAAACAAGTAGATATATAGCATGGCCCACGCTGCGTCGGGCCAATTCTGCACTCTAGAAAATAAACAGACTCTGCGAATATATCCTGACCTGGCAGCCCATCGATATCAATCTCATCGAGCAGGACACGAGGGGTCAAGTCCACTAGCAGGGAGACCCCCATCTTCAATGGCCAGCTGCAAACGGAGGGAGGCGAAGGCAGCGGCGGCGCACTTGAGCCGCGTCAGCGGCACCCGAGCGATGGGGGCGACGCGCATTCATAGACTTAATGCATCCTCTGCCCCGCGAGACCAGGAGCGCTGCAGCTCGAGGAGGGAGTATATGCAACATGGCGCACCTGACTCGGACCTCGCAGAAGCCCAGGCCTGGCAAGCCCCCGATGCCCATCTCATTGAGCAGGGCGGGGGGGTCAAGACAACTCACTCAGAGAGCTCCCAGACACGCGCTGCACTCTGGGCCCCCCAATGCACAAAGGGGAACACCCTACCCGCAAACCCCGAATAGCCTGACTCTGCCAGCCGCGGCGAGGTGGGCGAGGCCAAGGGCAGAACTAAATCTGAAGACCCACAACGCCCTGGCAGTCGAAAGAATCTTCGGATATTGAGCGGCAGTGGTAGTCCAATTCATCGCGCTGCCCTGCGCCTTTCCCGGCGAGGACCACGCGGGCGCGGCGCGAAACGCAACGTCTCCGCGCTCGCGGCAGAGGCGATTGACCCCCAGAAGGGCGGGGGCCTGCCAACCTACCAGGGCGAGTTCGTTTTCTCCAACGAGCTCCTCAAGCGCATTGGTCGAGCACGAAATAAATCAGAAGCGCGGCGGTGCCTCCGGAGCCGGGCCATGCCAGGCTGCCCACGCAAGGGATGGCCGAGGGCTCCCACAAATGGCGGGGGGCCAGG